CGAGGCGCAAGTGCGGAAATTCACAAGGAAGAACATCTTTACGCGTTTTGGGCTCCCAGAATCCATCATCACTGACCATGGAAAGCAATTTGATTGCAAAAAGTTCATAGAGTTTTGCGATGAAAATGGGGTCGTGTTAAGATTCTCTTCAGTGGCCTACCCTCAAGCCAACGGGCAAGCCGAGGCAGCAAACAAGAGTATTTTGCACGGCTTACACACGAGATTGGCAGAAGCCAAGGGAAGATGGGTTGAAGAATTACCAAGTGTTCTATGGGCGCACAGGACTTCCTTCAAAGTAGCCACGGGTGAAACACCCTTCGCGCTAACTTATGGTAGCGAAGCGGTGTTGCCCGTCGAGATGCGTGTCCCAACTTTCAGGATGACCCATCGAAGCGAGTCTATGGAGGCCCAAGAGCGTATTGATGAGCTAGACCTACTGGACGAGCGCCGAGAGATGGCGGTGTTGCGATTAGAGGCAATGAAGGGTCAAGTGGCAAGGTACTACAACAAGAAGATGAAGGCGCACAACCTCATGAAAGGTAGCCTTGTCCTAAAGAGGGATTTCCGCCCAAAAGCGGCCGAAGGGAAGTTGGCTCCAAAGTGGAAAGGGCCATACCGCATTCAAGAGGTCATTGGTCCAAGTACATTCAAGCTGGAACACCTATCAGGCAAGAAGGTCAAGAGGACGTGGAATGCACAGAATTTGCGCAAATATGAGGCGCCCGAAAGCGAATAGACTTGCAAGATTAGTCCTTTTATGGCGGAGTAGTGTTTTCTTGTGTGTTGTGTTTTCCAAAGCGCCCAGTTTTTGCGCCCGCCTTATTCCGTAAAGCGCCATACTCGCGCCCTCTCCATGTAAAGCGCCCCAATTTTGCGCCCCAACTTTTTGGAATCGGATTAATTATTATACGTGAAAGTGGATATCTAAAGAGATAGTAACATTGCGCCTACCTCTTTGCGCCCAATATAGCGCCCATACCAGTTGCGCCCAATAATGTATCCTAAGTAATCCTAAATTAAAGCGCCCAAAAATAGCGCCCGGCAAAGCTACGTTTAGCAAAGCGCCATGTTTCGCGCCCGCCTTTTGCAAAAGCGCCCTAACATTGCGCCCTCACAAGAAACGCGAAACTTGGTAATAAAAGGAAAGCTAAGGTGGAAGCAAAGCCAATTGACAAGGAAACATGCATTCTTATATATAAAAATAAGTGCGCAAGGACAGGCATCACAAGATAAGAAGACAATAACACTCGAGGACAGCTAATCTACTCGGCGCCTGAATTCGCATCCCCAGCACTAGGCGCCCTTGGAGAAGGAGAGGTGGGAACTGATGGCTCGGGCGCCCCACTTGTCCCGCGAGGCGTCTCCATCCCGCCGATCACATACTCGGCCATCTCCGAGAGATCCCAAGTAAGGTCAGGATGGTCCTTCTGCAGCTTTCCTCGCAGGATTTCAATGCCGGTCAGGACGGCATTGGCGCACATGGACTTCCCGGTCTCCGACTCCATCAGGTCGTCCAAGGATTGCCGAAGTTCGGAAATTTCTTTCCGGGCCCTCTTCAAGGATTTCTCACTTTCCTTGTGGGCGTCCTTCAGCCTCCTCTTCTCCTCCTTAAGGATGTCGATTTCACTGGCCTGGGCGCCAGCTTCTTGCGCCAGCACATCCTTCTCGGCCTGCAGGGTGGCCAATTTGTTGCGCTCCTCGTCTAGGGCGCCTTGCAGACGAGACAACTCCATGGTGGCCGTCATCTGGGCGTCCTCGCATTCCTTTGCAAACTGCTCGCGGCGTGCAGTTGCGTTCTCCAGATCCAACTTCAGCTGAGCAGCTGAAGAGGAAGCCTCGAGCGCCTCCCTTTTCGTCTCATTGAGGCGTCGGGCGCCTCTTTCAGCAAAAAGAAGGATCTGCAACCATTGGAAAAGGGTTAGCAAGTTGTGCAAAATAACAAGTAGAAAGGATATGAAAATACAAACAAGTACGAGGAAGCATACCTTAGCGCCCACTTGGGCTAACTCAGCAAAATGGTGATCACTGGTCACCTCGGATGGTACTTGCCAGGACTTGGCGGCCGCTATTGCCAAGCCCATGGCACACCCTCGGTCAACGGCGACCAAGGGGGAACAGTTCATGTTGACCCGTCCCACCTCGGTACGCCGTGGCCGAAAGATGGGGGGGCGCCCATCGGAGCCAACATAGCGCCCCTCTTCATTAAGATGGACGCGGGCGTCCTCCGCCACCTCCGCCTCCACGCCCACCTCATCGTAGGCGTCCTCCTCGCAGGCGTCCTCCTCGCCTACCTTCTTCTTGCCGTGGGCGGCCCTTTTACTGGCCGAGGTTAAGGGGGAGCCCGCCCTCTTCCCCTTGCGGAGCAAAGGCTCCTCTTCCTCTTCCTCTTCCGCGGAGTTAACCTCCTTATCCGCGGGGTCGACATCAGGCGTCCCATCGCCTTCTTCCGGGGCGGACGACGCCACGCTTGCCGTGTGCGCCTGAGCGGTGCCACCCTTCACTGCCCTCTTCTTCCCTTTCCTTTTCTTGGGGACGACTGGCGGCGCCTGTGATTGGGTGGCAGGTACCGCTGGTTGACGGGGCGCCTCTTGCTGGGCAGGCGCCTCTTGCTGGGAAGATGCCGCCGCAGCCGCCACCATAGTCGCCAGCTTACTTTTCATAAGCTTAGCGATGCTCGAATAATCCGCCCCTGCATATGACACAAATGAGTTAGTACATAACGCAAAAACAAGAAAAAAAAAGGGGATAAAGACGCAGAACACCTAGACGCCTACACACCATCGTTGTAATAAGCCTGAATAATGGGCGGACGATTCTCGGCGGGGCGTAAGTCAACAGGCTCCCCCTCGCAAATTAAGGAGGCGCCTGCCTCCTCAGACGCCGTCAAAACCACCGGCTTATTGAAGTCATCGACTTGGCCTAACCCCCATTTCCTCATAAAGGCGCCCCCACTGGCAAAGAAGGAGTCTTGATAGGCCTTCACGAAGAAAAACCCGTTGAACCAGCTTCGGTTCAACTTAGGGCATTTCTGGACAAAGTGATGAGGGCAACTTTTCTTCTTGCGCTTCTGGAGGGATAAGCAGTTGTCCAGAGGCACCATCTTGAAGAAGTGTCGGAACAAGTTGAAGGTGGGCTCCACGTTGTGCTCTCGGCACCTCAACTTGAAGAGGATGACAACCGTGATAACCGAAGGGGATAGGCGCCCGAGAGGACAGGCGCATGTAGTCAAAATTCCCTCCATGATCGAGTCCAAGGGAAACTGAAGCCCGAAACGGAAGTACTCCTGGTAGAGCCCGATCCACTTGGGACCACAGACGCCCACCCGGGATATGGGCGATGGAGGCGCATACCACCAGTCTCTGGGAAGCTGGAGACTAGTCACCAGTTCATGAACCTGGTCCAGGGTGATGGTCGACGTATGGTTGGGCCCAGCCACCTCAAAAGACAAGTGCGACGTCTCAGTGGGCAAATGATCAGGTGGGAAGCACTTCTCCCACGTTGTGATCTTGTATGACCCGTCGGCGGGCAAGAAGCCAGGCGCCGACGAACTTGACGGCCCAGCTGACGAGGAAGCAGACGCCCGCTCTAAACCAACAAATGACCCGGACGCAACGGGGACAAGGGGTAAGTGACGCCCCTACCCTAAGTGACTAGAGTAAAAACTCAATGAAATCGACGAAAGGAGAAGGACAACTTACCACGTTGAACTGGGCGCCTTGCTTCACCGCCGTCGCCGGAGGCGCCTGCGCCCGAGGCGCCAGGTGCAGAAGTCTTGTCTTGTTGAGGAGACGACATTTTTTGGACGAGAGTGAGGTGTTGGCCGAGAAAAACAAAGGAGAAAGAGGACAGAGGTCAGAGCGGAAGATTCTAGAGAGAAGTCAGAGCAAGATTCTAGAGAGATGACAAATAGAAGAAAGTGACAGCATCACAAAGGGGGGGGGTATTTAAAGAGAAACGAAGGCTCACCCGTCGCATGACACGTGTCAGTCATGCCGAAGGAAACCCTTCCACTCCCCCCACCTTTTGGGTCTTTTCGCGCGTCACCAAAACACAGGCGGACCTTTGAGCTTCCCCCACACTCTCCTTTTCGGGGAAATTTCTCAACTCCCAAATTTCGAATTTTGAATTTCGAAATTCGAATTTTTCTTTTATCCAAATTTCCCCCACAAGCACAGTGTGGGTGAGGGGGGCACAAGGGATAAGGACACTCGTCAAGAATGACACCATGAAGCGCCCGAAAAGGAGGGCTAATCAAAAAAGCGCCCCGATTGGGTATAAGGCGCCTTGGCAGGTAGGAGGGACAAAAGCACCTGGAAGAGCACGATGCAGGCGCCGAAGTGACAGGCGCCCTGCAACTAAGCAGAAGGCTGGACTACAACTAGAGGTTCAGTCAGGCGCTCGTTGGCGAAGCCACGAGCACCTAACTGGGGGGGCAATTGTTGGGGGTATTACCCAGCGAGCTTGGGGACAAAGCCCAAAAGAGTAAAATACCAGGGGCCAGGTGGCGGCCAACCGGCTGGTGGACCACGGCCTGGGGCGCCTGTCAGGTGTCAGGAGTCTGACAGGTCGGTTAGCTGTCACGCAGAGCACCAAAAGCCAGGTGGCGACCAACTGGATGGTGGACCACGGCCTGCGGGCGCCTGTCGTGTGTCAGGAGCTTGGCAGAGCTGTGGAATGCCAGTCAGATGTCAGGAGCCTGACAGGGCGGTTAGCTGTCTGGGGGCGCAGAGCATTGAATGAGGAAGGTGACGTGGCGGAAATCAACCTCGGGTTCGGTGAGTATAAATAGGGGCAGACGATAGCATTTACGCAGGTTGGTTTCTCTCACTAAACCACTTCCAAATACGAATCTCTCTAGAAAGGTGCACTGACTTGAGCTTCGGAGTGCTAACGGGCCGACCAGGGCCCTTAGGCGTTTGTGGGTGTAGGTTCCAGGCGCCCGGGTGGTGGAAGAGTGGAAAGGCGAAGGATCAGTGTTCGGGGGTATCTAGGCACAAACATCTTTCAATAGGTGATGTTGGATCCAAATCTTTATTCTAGTCTTCTAGACCATAATCCAGTAATCCACAGTCCAAACGCTTGGAAAAAATCATCTCACCATTTGCTTTCCTCAAGACCAAAGCAAAGGAACACAAAACTTCTGCTAAAAAATACCAACATTTTCTTGCCCCAACTTTTCCAATGACTACATTCTCTATGATGTACAACATTTTCCCACGACAGAGAGGTTAGAAAACTTGACTATTCAAAAGCGAATCGTCAGTTCATCGCCTAGTAGTTCTTTATTCAACGCCATATCCCACCAGTTCCAGTGAACTTACTGATCGGAGTGTCATTCAACCTCCTTGTCCTTCTTCATGCTGTCCTCCGATGGAAGTGATACAAACTGCAAGAACTTCTTAACTTGTTCGACTTCAAGGCGGAACTGTTGAGCGATTTGGTGGGCGTCCACGGGCGACTTGAGGTTGTCTCCTTCTTCCCCCTTGCCTGCATGTAGTTTGAGAATGTGTCGGAGTTGTGCCAAGTTCAGGGTTCCCGGGGGAACAGCTCTTTCCTCATACTTACTGGCAGCATCGGGAGGTGTGTTCCGTAGTTTTGGTAGGGGCTTGTTAGGCCTTTCTACTATAGATGCCTGTCATAGAGATAGCAGCTTTAACATTCAATGAAAATAAATTTTTGCATACCTAACATTCCTAATGCCACTGATATTGATGGAGAATAGAGAATGCAGTCTGAAGTCCTATTGGTTCGAACTCATGGCCTTCCCTGCTGCATGCTACTTATGATTCATATCTTTCTGGAAGCTTTTGTAGCAGGTATCTGGTTCATTTAGGTATATCACTGCAGAAGTTGATCACTCCGAATTTTTCAATTCAAGGATATCGATCTCAAACCCTACAAATCGGGACACACACAGAAGCTCACAAGGAAAACTGGTTCAGATTAAATCTTTTGTGGATAGGGTACCTCGGTCTTGGAGTTCACAGCTTTTCTTCTTCAAAAGAAAGAGAACCTCTCGCTTGATTTATAGGGAACTCAATTCCTTCTGTTCTTAAGACTTCAGACGAACGATGAGACTAATTCATTGTCGAGAGAACAGTTGCTTCCACCATAAATACAGAACTTGGCGATAGATCAAGGTCATTACAAACAACTCAGTCATGGCCTTTCTCCTAAAATGAAGTCTTTTCTCAAAACCATTTTTATCTAATGTCTATCCATAGTCAGTCTGCTGATGGTTTTGATTATAATGAAACCATCATGCATTATCTTTAAGACCAAACCCCAACAGGTGTTCACTTCCCTGTTTATACAACTTCCTAGTATGAATATGAACAGAGAACTAAAAGGGTGAAGCCAATATCAGAAGAGCTCACCTCACCCATCTCAGGTTTCCCTCCTGGCTTCGTTTGGATTCTTCCCACCATTTGATTGAGCATTGCATCGAATTGTGGATCCCGTTCTTCAAAGGGATTTTCAGCATCAAAACTTGGATTATCAGCTACACAAAACAAGAAGGCATGCTGCAGGTCAGTTCATTCCATGACCCAGATATACATTTCCCTGACGATACTACAGATCAAAACGGTAAGTACAAAAGCAGCACAGCAGAATGTCAAAGTCCGGAGTTCCCAATGCCAGCCTGTTCTGTTCCTTTCTTTCTCAGGAACCAAACGGAAGGCAGGGGGAAAAAAATTCAACCTCAGTGATACAATGGCTAGTTATGGAGCTCAAATTAACAGTCACCAAGCAAACATTACTTACATTTCTGCTCTTAGGTCAGAGTGAAAAGCAGCAAAGTCTCAAAGACTCAAACTTTAGGAGGATTAGGGAGAAGGGTTCAGTTCCACCGGTACTTCCGAGAAACCGACACAAGAAAATTCACCTATTTAAACGAATGAGCAGAGAGGAGACTCAGACTCACCAGCGCCAAGTGTATCTTGATTGTCGAGTTTTTGGGTAGTTGTCCTTGATACCTCCACCACTTTCTCGGCGGCACTTTCCGGTGGCCTGCGATCGACAACCACCTTGGGAGGCGGATCAGGAACTCGGATTCTGCCAGATGCTCGACGAAATGCCTGACCCATTTGCTTTGCACTTGCCGCCTTCTCCTTTCTCGGCCTTTTAGAAGGGCAATAACGCCGCCGCTTGGCGGTTGTTTTAGCGTTCCAGAAGGAGTATGAAAGAGAACAAAGGCCTAATAGTTCCGCTGGGAAGTGGGAAGAAGAGAGGGAGAGGTCCTTGGAAACGAAGGAAGAAGAAGGAAAGCGGCAAGTGAGTCGTAGTAACGAACAAAATGCCTGTGGTTCTGTGGAGAACACACGTTGCTTTGTACTTTTGGAGGAGTTCGCAAAAACGGCATCCCAAGTTGCCTATTTGCAAAAAAAAAAAAAAAAAAAAAGGTGAAATCGTCACTGTGGATAACGTCTTCATATTCTTATTATTCTTTTCTTCTTCTTGGAAGTTGGAACAAATCAATAGGACTGTACTCTGTAGACTAGTATAGACTACAAAGCAAAGTTGAGGCCAATCACCTCTTACAAACAATATTTCTTGACGGTTTTGCGGTAATATTCTCATACTCGTTAAAGGGTACATCAAAATATTTCTCACTTGCGTATTGATCTTCTGACTGGATTAGTGCATTTGCAATTTAATTCGTCTTATAAATAGAGTAGTAGAAAATACATTTTTCAGATGAACCAAGAATGACTCCATTTTTAATAAATAGGTATAATGCATGTGAATGTTAGAGTTTGCAGTAAAATCCTATATTTAAATGATAAGTAAACCAAGAAATTAAACCTTTTTCTTGGTCTCTGACTTCTACCTCATTTTTCTACATTTTCAAAGCAACCAATTAGGAGCAACCCTGTAAGAGATTTCAACTCTGGCCTACCATTATGTTCCAAGCAAAATCTGCAGTTGGAGCTAGTTATCAGCTACATGAACCAACCAACCTGTCCAACCAGCACATTGTTCAACTGGCCTTGGGCGAAGAATATGAAACAAATTAAAATAATGGGTTTTCAACTATTATTTGCAAAGATGGATTCTTTATCGATGGAGTCAAAATTCCCCCCTTCACAAGAAAGCACTTTTTCTTTCCAAGTCATTTGATTTTGAATGAAAGATAAAAGTTTCAACTCCAAACCCAAATTCCACTTCCTGGTCTTTTTCTGTTTCCTTCATCTTCTTGCCATATAACCTATGTAGTAAACTTGGACAGCTGAGCTGTACACACAGAGGTTTCTCTGCTCATTCAACGGCTTCAAGACATTTTCAAACTCGGCTGAAAAATGGCTCATTACTTCGAACCTGAACCTCGTTATCAACGTCGTTGCTACTACTCTTGGTCACACAGCTTCCTGGTTCATCTCCACCTTTCAAATCCACAATTTCGGGTCCAAAGTTAGTACAACTGCTGTCAATCCTCGCCTTCTTAGCTCGTTTAGATGCTTGTCTCGACGCATGGCTGTCTCTCTTTGGCGTCAAACTTAAGAACCCACAGGCAAGAGCTTCCAGTGCCTTAGTAGTCAGTGGCCGGTTTCTAGTACTGTGTCTACGCGAGTCAGATGTCGAAGTTGAGGGCTTTGGGACTCCAGGGTCCTCTGGCTGCACATCAGTGATCTTCCTCTCAGACACCATTGAGTCTTCGGGTTCTTGAGGGATAGGTGCAACATTAAGGTCAATCAATGTCCGAGATTGAGGATTGTCGTTGGAATTTTCAGCTGCAGAAGAAGAAGTACTGCTCACATGGCTGGATGAAGAACTGGTGAAAGGTAGTTTCTCTTGCTGCTGACTCAGCAAATGAGAAGGAAATCCATGTCCACGATAGCTCACAGGGTAATCCTGAATCATCCTTGGACCACTGACTAACTCGTCATCGAATGTTCCAAAATAAGTCTTTCTTGTGTCACAAGGCACTGCTGCTTTCTGTTGTTGCTTCCCCACTCCTTGACCAACCACGTCATCAAAGGTTCTGCATTTGGTATTCCTTGCATCACAAGGCACTGGTCCTCCTGCTGCTGCTTTCACCTGTTGCCGTTTTGCAGCTGGTGGCTCCACTACAGTATTCACATTGCTGGGTAGCTTTCTTTTCCTTGTGGCTTGAGGTTTATTCACAAAAACCTTTCTGGCCTGCATAGTTCTTCCATCATCATCAGCAGCAGCCTTATTGTTCAAGCCATTCACAAGGAGACTATGTCTCACAGTGCCATTTCCATGAAAATCCAAATCAACACTCGAGTCTCCTGCAGAATACGATTCATCTGTGGGTCCATTCGAAGAATCATCATTATCGTCATCATCACTACTACTACTACTACTACTACTACTATCTTCAGAATCACTAATTGGGAGGCAAATGTTCATAGCCTGAGTTGGCAACCTTCTCAGTTGAGTTATCTTCTTGCTTTGCCCATTAGCCAGGCTAGTATCAACAATTGTGAAGCTCAAACCATTCGTACTAGCAAGTTCTGATTTCCTCGGCTTAAGATAAGAATGTTGCTCCTTGCCACCTAAACTGTCTCCCTCTAAGTTTCCACCTTTACTCCAACCATTCTCTTCCTTCCCAGCATCAAGCTCAAGAAGTGCAGGCTGAGAACCAATTTTGTTCAGAACATCAGTAACCGAATCGAAGTAGTGCTCTCCTTTCACAAGCTTCCTGCGAGAGAACTTCTTAACTCCAGAGACTATAAATACCAGGGAGTTTCTAGAACCATCTTTAGGTTGCTCCGAGCGCCACCCTCTAGCAAGCAACCTTGGCCAAACAGCTTCCCAGAAGATATCGTTCGACCTAGCTTTGCTCAGCCGGTATCCTCCTGTTAGAAAGTTGACTATCTCCAAAGGTGTTAGCTTTGAGCATTCTTTGCCAACAGGTATCTCTGGTCGAGCCGACCCAGCATGATTGGTTGACCTCAGGGAGTCCATTGCAGTGCTTGTTAGGTCTTGCTTCCCTTTGCCAATTCCCACTGCTTCGACTAAGACCTTTAAACCGACTGCTGCTTTTAAAGCAAATACATATTCCTCCAGCATCATTTGTCCCTCTCCAAATGACTTGGTAACCTAATTAATTAACATAATGGCTTCATCATTGAATAGTGAAAGAAAATACATTGGGCAACTTGTAAACCTACTACATTTCATAAAGCTAACAGATCTCTACAATTAAATGACTAAAAGAGCCTTCATGAAAGAAAATAGCTTTACCTTCTGCAAAGTGTGCTGGCACTCCTCAGATGAACGATTGACCAAGCGAGACAAGAGCTCCTGCTGCCTTGACCCAGTGAAGATCCTCTGTCCAAACATTCTCTTCCTTCCTTTCTGCTTGCCACATTCGGACCATCTACGATACCTACTCGACCTATAGAACTTCCCGTAGTAAAAGGATAGTATCTGGCCCATTGTCTTACTCTCAACAAACTTCTGTACTTGAACAAGGTTCTTCCCAAAGACATACAGACCAAGCAGAAAGCTCCCCACTTCTAGATCATCCCATTCATCATAACAAGACGAACCAGGTACCAAACGGTAGCTTTTACTTCCACATCGAACCACTTCATTATTCTCAGCCTTCACTGAATCATTCCTGGTGGAACCTGTGGACAAAGCATGAAGGTACTCGTCTAGTTCTTTCTTGATCGTCTCGCCTTCTTCCTTAATCCATGTTAGTGATAGAGGCAACCCGAGTGAAAACTTGAGAGTATTGCCTTCTGAGGGTAATGTGTGATCAGTTTGGAGGTAGACCGATCTGGTAATGAGAGGTGGGATCGGGACCTGGAACTGTTCTCCAATTCGAGGCAGCAACTCCGTTTCTCTCGAGGGTTCATCGTTTTCGCTTATGCCAGAAGATTCTAGTGCCTGCAGAGGCTGCTGATCTGCAGATTCAATGGCATTGATATCTCCATTGTGATCCATTTGAACCTCATCCATCTGGAGGGGGGGAAGCAAGTAACAACACAGATTCTTAGTAACACAAACAGTGCCTAACTCCTGCAACTTATATGAATTCTTCCTACCATTAAATTAAACTCTTGACATTACAGTGGTAAGAAAGTTCAGGAGCAGCAAACCCAGTAACCAAATCTAACTACATTGACAGTAGAAGCAATAATCTTACAGAAAAATTATCTAAGCGAAAACAGAAAGTAACCGGGAACTAATTTAAAAATAAAATTCAGGGATAAAAAGTAAATAAGTAAACCAATGAATCAAAAATGGAACAGTCAAATCCTCCATACCATCCAATAAACATGAATTATGCTGTAGCAGAAGGCAGCTAGGCATTAACTGAGAACCCAGTGGATATCAGTTCAATTCCCAAGAGAAAACAACAACAACCACACAAAAAAAAAAACCCACGAAAAGAAAAATAAAAAGCTCGAAACTTTGGGTTGATTATTAACGACCCAAGAAGCACATTCATCTGGGAAGCTACCTAATTTCCCCGTAGCTCATCACCAAACCATAACAGCTCGAGAACAGAGCTTCATCATATATACACATCACAATATCAGCCATAATCAAACAATTAGTGAAGCTTTGAAGAAGCCGAAAAAAAAAACAAACTAAGTTTATTTATTAACTACTGAGGAGTAAGATTCGGACACGATCCCGAAGTAAGGAAAAAGATTTACCCCCTTCCTTCATATCGCAAAGGAACAGAGCAACTCGAAACAAAGAAGACACCATCAATTCCCTTCCCGCAGAGAGATATATATCTATGTACAATTACTGCTGTATATTATATATAAACATACATGGGCGTTTTTTTGTGTATAATAATAAAATAATGGTTACCTCCATTTCAGAGAAAGCCGTCAAAGCTATGGCGGGCGCGAAGGGGGAGAAGAGAGGCGCAGGCAGGGGGAGCAGAGGGCCGACCGAACGAAACCGAAGGCTAGAGAGAGAAAGTAAAAACCTGAGAGAGAGAGAGAGAGAGAGAGAGAGAGAGAGAGAAGGAAATGGGGGAGAGTCGAGAGACGAGAAGGGAAGGGGAGAGTAAACCTCTGGCTTCTTTTTGTTTACGCACCGATTGACAAGTACTTATTTATAAAAAATGGAAAAAAAAATTATATGGAATTGAATGGATTAGGGGGGTGAAAAGAATATTTATTTAATAATAAAATTGATAACCAAAACAGAACAACGTGAAACTGTTCTTCCTCTCCCTTCCCTTCCCTGCTTTTTTTTTTTTTTTTTTTTTGCTTTGTTATCTCCTTTTTCTCTTTTCCTCGCCTTTAATTCTTAAAACCACTCATCTGGAATTTATGAATCTCATAAGCCATGGATTTTTACAAGGCTTGATTGCCAAATAACACATCTCATTCTTGTAATTGGAAATGTGTATATAAATATAACTGACCAACTATATGGTTCTTTTTCCCGATAATGCAATTATTAATTACGGACTAATTTTAGCTTAGAACGAGACAAGTATGAAGGGTTGTTTTAAAAATCCGTCTAGATTTCAAGTCTTTAGTATTAATAAAACAATGAATTCATCGTTGACAATGTATATGATATAATTAGAGAAATATAATAGATATATGGAATTAAATGATACCAAATAAGCGACACACAAAATATACAAGTCGAATGTTTGAATGTACATGATATACCAAATACGCATATCTTTTCTTTCAAAACTGAGTAGAAGCACTCCAAAAACAAATCCAAAAACCTAGGTAAAATATAAAAGGCAAACAGTCAAAACTAGTCATTCCAATAACTTTAATTTCATCGGTCCGGTCAACGTTATACATAATCCATAAATTGGATTTGGTTGACTTCCAAACGAAATAAACGACTTTTCAGTTCCCAGCTAAACCAAAATTACGTGGCGTTTTTACTGGGGCAGTAAAAACTAAAAACTCCAAAACTCGTCCTCGGACAGAAAACTTTTTACTGTTTCACCTCGGGTAATTTTATCCATCGAGCCTGCCGCTTCCACTTTCACCTCGGAACATAAGTAAAAAAAAATTAAAAAAAAACAAACAACCACAAGGGGAGCTCCGTCCGAATTACATGAATAAAACTGATAGGCAACCGAGCACGCGCGACGGCGATGCGTGCAACTCACCTTCCCGCCGCGTGGAGATTCCGCCGTTAGTTGGCTGGCCATGGTGTGGTAATACACTAATACTGCGAGCAGCCGCCGCAGCTTCAAGTGTAATGAGGCCAGGCGAATGGGAAGTCGCCACGTAGCCGGGATGAGGAAAACGCGATTGGTGTTTGTGGTCGGTTAGGGAATTTGGGGCCCACGTTGGGCCGGGCCTGTACTCGTGTCCAGCTCGCGTGAGGACGGGATCATGTGGGGTAACGGGAGATTCACAATTGGGCCTGCGGAAGGGAAGGGGAATCGGGTGGATTTGGTCCTATAGACCACAAAGTGGACTTCCATTTGCAACTATGTGACTCCACTAAGACTTTAGAGTAGTGTGTTGAGTATCTGTTGATTCGGTTTAGAATCAGATTGAATCGAGATAAGATAGTATCAAAAACAAAGGGAAAAAAAATGAAGATTAGAATCGCACTAAAATCATCATTCGCGTTCTATGTAATTCATTGGAATCTGAATTCAATTTTGATCATTTTTTTCTTCTTCGTGTTTTAAATATGCTCATAAAGCAGCTTAGTGTGACACTAGCACAACAAAGTCTAGAAGGGTTATTTAACTGGTTATCTAGCAGGCTATTAGTTATTTCTTTCACCGTATAATAAAAATTTGTTATATTTCTAGCCAGACTTCTCTCGTGTATTTACTAATTGGATATTCCACGTGACATGTTATACAATTTATGCTCTAACATATAATATGTTTATCTTCGACGTCGAATGTTCTCCACAATAAGTACGATGGATCCTGACTCGCATTGAACACTTTGACATTTGATTCAAAGGGAGGAGCAGAAGAACTAATAAGCAAAATCACCCCACTTGTTAGAACTGCACATTGCAAATGGAAACATAGATCAGAAATCATCCCACATTGGATTGCTGAATAACTTGATGGCGTCGGCCACCTGCATATTTGGAATGGGAAAAGAAGACAAAAGAAGGGGCAGCAGCAGAATGAAGGAAAGTAAGAAAAAAAAAGTGGCAGTTACGCCTGTTTTAACTCATCTTTTCTGCTGTACTCTGTTTTTGTTTTCGTTCCTTCTTCAGGGTTATTTCATGTGCATGCTCTGTTTTCCCACACACAACATTTTCTGGTATGCTTTTGTTCTTGGCAATAGCAAGATGTGTGGCTTACTTTTTTTTACCAGTCTACCTAACCTCTGTGCTTTTCCCTTTTTAAACTTTCATAGTTGATGCAGTGAATCACGAAAGTGAACAGGTTACTATTAACTCGCGCTACTATGCGTCGAAAGTAGTTTCGAATTTCGATATCGTCCAGTTTGACATTAAATTCAATTGGAACGGCGTTAGGTGATAAGGACCGTAACTGCTATGCACTTTTTCTTCTTGGGAACCTGTCTGTTTGTTTGATTATTGACTCGTGCAGTGTAACTTCGCAATGACATAATTATTTTTTGCCGTCAATAATGTTTATTTACATCGAGTTGATAATACGTTGGTCTATTTCAAATCAAACTAGTTGATCTGTATCTTGAAGTTCGCAAGCTTAAGAAATGATCAGTTTCAAGATTAATCTACTGGACTGATAAAGGAATAACAAAACTGAACGAATGGAGTCAAGATTGAAGCACATTGAACAATATCATTTTTTCTAATTTTGAACTAGAACAAACCCATCCATTTCATTTCATATTGGTGAATAGGAAGCAAAACAAACTGGTGCTGGGGGCACCAGCACCACGGTTATATGGGCCGAACACATCGTCGATTTGGCCCAAGAGATATTTTGAACTCAGCCCAAATTTGATGTGCATACTCTGACGGGCTTTAGAAATTAAGCCCGGACAAATAAATGGCATTCCCAGTCTGTTGGTGGGTCGTAGCCCATTAATCTAAGTTGGTAAATATTTTATCTGGACCACACACAATAGTGCCAATGAGCAAATCCATGATGTTGATCTGGTTGAAACCCACAACACGATACAGCCCATTATATGATTGTGTTCTAAATAAAATTAGCGATCACAAATTAAAATTTTCATCAAAATACATAAATAAGTTAGTAAAAATCCTTATGTTTTAACAAAATCGCGCAAAGTAAATTTTAATGTTGTATGTTCCTTTTTCAATTTCACAGTAGAACATTTTTTTTTACAACGGGTAAAAAGTGTCCTCAATATATCATTTGTGAAATGGCGAATTTATGCGGGATATATTTACCTAATTGCCTCTGTCATCTTAACTAGTCTTTTGAAGATCGAATCAAACTAGTCGCTTCCATCGATAAAACAGGATTGTAAATGTTGGTTTGAACGATTAGTCGCTCAAATAAGACTAACATGACAGGTAGCTCAAAATTCAAAACTATTCAAATGGGAAAACAAACCAACAAATTACGATGATCATGAATTTCGAACCAAGTATAGGTTGGCTTGCTATTTATAAATAGGGCTAATACCACTGGGAAACCTGAACTATTAACTTTGTGCCATTTGTATCATAAAGTATTCGATACGACATTTGTGTCCTAACGTATTATAATTGTGTGTCATTTATGTCCTGACAATTTTATTGACCGTTATAGATAACGGTTGACCAAACGACCGTCACATATTTGCTGACGTGGCAAAAAAGCTTGTTGCCACGTAGATGCCACATCATTAAATATTAATTTTTGGTTCAAAATTTAATTATTTTATCAAATAACAAAAACACAAAAAAATAAAAAGTTAAAGAAACCCTAAAATTATTGGTTTCTCCGGCTCTGTAAGCCGTCGTCGCCACCAGTGAAGACGACATTTGGAATAGTGGATTCCGTTGGTGGTGGAGAAACCAATTGGGCGAAGAGAGGGAGAGCGACGACGGAATCGGGAATCGCGTTGCTGGGTTCTCCACGACGGCAGCGCCTGGGAATCACGTTACCGACCCGAAATCAAAATCAAGACAGATCTGGCAATTTTCCCTCAGTTGGGTTTCTGGGTACGATTGAAAAAAATGGGGGAGTTGGACGATCCATACCTAATATCTTGACACCAGCAGCGTTTGAAGCAAGAGCTGTAGCAAGGAGAACAACGAAGTTAAATTTCTTACGGCAAGCTACAGTTCAGCGAAAACGAAAGGAGAGTGAGAGAAAAGGAAAGAGGCAAAGGCGGCGACACTCGTCGGCCGACGAGATGTTTTCGACGAGGAGGTGCTTCTCCGTTCGTGTTTGTCTCTCACTCTGCCAAAAAATCAGATCTGTTTTTTTTTTTTATGAATTGATGCAAAAATCAGATCTGCTGTAGGTGCAACCACCTCCCTGTCAAATCCAATCTTTAAAACCTCCAACTCAACAGCGACATCGGTCGCAGAGGTAGAGTTGGCGGATGCGGCGGTGGCGGTCGCTGCGGGAAATCATTTGCTCCGCTCCTCCACTGCGATTAATATCCCCTTCGGTTCTCTCTCTCTCGGACTCCTTTCCAATACTCGACCTCAAGCGTAGCCTCCTCTGGCGGCTATTTGGAACGGCCATCAAACTCAGGCCACGCAGTAGCCGCCTCAGCAGCAACGAGTCCGACGGCTATGTGGCGGATGGAATTGACGAAAGAAGAGGAAGAAGTTGGGAGCCTGGAGGAGATAGATTTTTATTTTTGTAATTATTTTTTATTTTTAGTTTATTCTTATTTATGAAAGATAACTGAAAATTTATATTATAAATTCCACGTCAGATGCCACATCAGCGCTGACTAGACTTTCTGTTAAAAATTAACGGTCAACGCCAGTCAACTCTAACAGAAAAATAGTTTAGGACACAAATGTCGTATCAGATACTTTGGGACACAAATGACACAAAGTTAATAGTTCGGGTTTCCTAATGGTATTAGCCCTTATAAATAAATATTTTCAAAAAATCCATTACATAACTTCCTTTTTCTCAAAATATCACATATATTATCATTGGATAATTTTCATTTTCGT